CTGGACTAATGAGACAGTAAACTGGTACGAGGCGCCAAAGAGGCGAGCATGAGAGAGAATGAGGCATGATGCATGTTGGCTTTGAATGGAAATATCAGATACTAATGGCTGCAAAGCTCCCAGATCAACCCCGTCAACCTTCAGGATAGTTGAGGATCCTGTCGGCTGCGAGCTCAAGTGAAAATCCAATTTTGCTGGAGCTGCAAAAAAACAAAGATTTTCATCTTTTCTTTCCAACTCTTCGGGATTCCAGAGCTCGACCGTGACAAGCAACAAACCTGACAGATCTATAAAGGTCATTTGTAAGCACATCACTACACAGTATGAAGCATCCGTCCAGAAGTCTGTCTGCCTTAAAACAGCATTATTTTGAGTGAGTGCTGTCCATGACTTTCTCAGTCGTTCATGATTAGTTCATGGAAAGTCAAAATGATCATTAAGGGTCGAAATACAATTTTTAAGAGTTGTTTTATTTTGTAATTAATTTTCCATGAGGTTTGCGATTTTATTTTAAAAAAAAACACACAAAAAATAAAAATAATAATATTAAATAATAAAATTATTTGTTTTGTCATTCTTTATAAAAATAACGTTGGTGACAAGGTTGAAGGTCAAGATATTGAATACCAATCCAACTCATGTTTTATGTATGATTTTAATCGTTCGATACAGTCGAAAAGGTCAAGACCTGGGAAAGGCCAAAATCACATTTAAAGAGGGAGAAATAGACATTTGGTGTATTTAAAATTAGTTCAATTTAATAGGTTAATTATGGTAAATGTATCAATGAATTATAGTATATTATTGACCAAATATAACCTATTTAATAGTTATCATCTGTTCTGCCTATAATTCTATTACATAAAAAATACTAATAGTAAATAATGGGGAAAAGTTCACCTTATTCATGGAATATGATGTATAAGCACTTTTTAAAAAATTGTCCTATAGTGAGCAAATTGTAGCTGAAATATTTTAAAGTTGAGGACAACTACAACAATTTATATTAATGTACAGATTGTACCCCGTTTTATTTTTGGATTTTATTCATTTCAATTTCTTTTCCAAACAACTCTATGTCCATGGGATATCCTGCCCTTGATGGACAATGGCTGAAGCCCTGGTTCAAGCACCAAATCCAGCATAAACAGGTAAGATCATTCTCACAATTCAAAGTTTAATGAAATGTCATGAAACAACATCGGTTCCATTATAGATTTGACCATTTGCGTGCGTGCACCACATACAGCGCTATAAATATATGTGTCAACTCGACTGGCAAAGGAGGCATGCTTTTGTTTTTCCACACAGATCGCTGAAGAAAATGTAGAGCTCCTTGGCAAAGGCCATTTCACCTTCATCGAGTTAAAAGGAGCGACTGGGAAATGAATCGAAAACAAACTCTATCACCCCCGCTGAAATGATAAACTGCAATGAGTACGAGCCATAAATCTTTAATTTCACAGCCATACATATTCCCCTGCAATTACAGCTGCCTCCGACAGAGGATGCGCTTGCGCGAGATAAACTTTTCAGGGGTCCCCATCAACAGTATGTTGCTTTACATCACAGTTTAATGCATAAGCATTTTAAAAGGAAGATGCATCTACAAAAACGTCGATAGATGCTGTTTATAGACGTGCATCTCCCAAAACCCGTCTCTGTCGACAAAGAAACGCGTGATTCGGTCAGCATCCGCGGCACGTGCCGTCTTTCTCCTTGGGAGGGCAACGCTCACCTTGAACTAGATGTGCGATTAAACCCAAGTCACAGCGTGTAAAGGTGCGTCCACGATCCTGCCTGTTTCTATCAAACCGCTGGGCATGAGACATGCGGAGCGCGTGCGGGTGCGCCTGCGAGTGCGCCAGTGCGCGTGTGTTTTGAATTCAAATGTCAGCAGCGAAATGCAGAGCAGATACCGCAGCATGCCAGTGAACTTCTGCAGTTTCACATTTAATCATCGTGTGTGTGTGTGAGCCACATCAGCTGGTGCGCATTTTAACAGAAGGACACATAACACCAATGGAGAACATGCCACATACCATGTTTACTTCGGATACCATGTCTATGCTGGCTATGTCTATATTCATCCCTACCGCCACCGGAGCGCCTGATGGAGAGAAAGGAAAAATTATTAAAAAGGAAATTGCATGCATGCATATACCCACACTTGAACCTTCAGGTATAGATTGTGCCAAATTACACTAAATCTCATTCTTGTGACACTCTATATATGAAACAGCATGTATTATATGTATATGAAACACCAACACCCCAAATTCACGTGGCATTGCGCATGAAATTGTTGATTTGTTACAGCCACTGGAGGTGAACGCACAAACACAACTGCATGACTGACAAATGCACAGTTAGACGCGTCCTTCTATCAATAACAGCTTGAGCATCTTCTATGATGGACTCGTTTGTGTGCGCGTGCATCAAAGGAGATTTTAAAGCATGCCATTTCATTTGCTGTCATGATGCAACAAAAGTTGCGGTGCAAACTGAATTGATCCCCAAGTTAGCGTCCCTCTCTGGGAAAAGATAAAATGGCAAAATTGCAGGAAATAAGCATGCGTTCATTTTTCTCATGCATTGACATGCACGCCTGATCAGAGACTGAGATGAATATAAACTGGGTTTGCATGAGTAATTGGGCATGTTAGTGCGCGTGACAATCCAAATGCAACAATTATACGAATTTTACTCATGCTAGCCTACCTCCGAAATCTGGCCTCAGCCGAATGTCGTATCCTTTCATGAGTCTGTCCACGGTGTCTTTAACCACCGGCATATTGCTCGGGTCTCTGATACTGCAATAATATCACGAGATGTTCTTAATTTCTTCTTACATCCAAAGACACAGCATTTTCTTTTCTGAAACGGCACAAAATGCAACCCTACCTTTGCGCGCACGCCACAGCCACGATCAGCGGACATAAGAAGATGATATGTGGGGTTTTTCCGATACTCTCCATTGCAACAGTTTTGATGGGCTTTCGGATGTGATGATGAAGACAGCGCACATCCAACTTACTGAAGCCAGTGCAGCGAAGGCAATGAGCTGCGCATGCGCACACGCCAGCTCCAGATCAAAGAGCAGCTCCTGATGATGCTGGATGAGCTGTTTCCATTGCGGGGGAAAAATTAAAGGGACGACTGAATAAACCAAGTCGAGAAGAAGAAGACATCAGGTGATCCTCATGCAGCATTTTTAGTCCTGTGTAAATGTGGAACTTGACGGGTTCCTGAAGGTGACACGAAGGGGTTTCAGTCATACCGAACTTCAGGTAGCCCATCACAGTCATTAACGTTTGCTTTAGGGTCTCAGAATAAAGAGCCGCTGAGAGTTTCTTCGGAACGTGTTTATTGTGAGAGAAACAGAAAACATAACCATTCAACATATTACAGTTAAAGGGGTCATATGATGCGATTTCAAGTTTTCCTTTGTCTTTGGAGTGTTACAAGCTGATTGTGCATAGATAAGATCCCTGAAGTTGCAAAGACTAAAGTCTCAAAACCAAAGAGATATTCTTTATCAAAGTTAAGACTCTGCCACGCCCCCCTAAAACGGCTTTTTTGGTCAGTCTTCCTGAGGATTTTAAATGTGTATATCTGTTTAAAAAAATTATTTTGTCAATTTTCAGGAGTTCACTAGCATCTATATGACCTCCAACTACTAGAAATTAACTAAAAAATATATTTTACTTACTAAATACATTTTCTAATTTGGTGGCGGTCAAAAATGACCAGCATTTTAAAACTGATTGTAAATTTCTCATTATGCTGTTATGCAAAAAAAAAATTTAATTCTATTTGGTACTGTTTGGTTGTAGGCCTCAGGTAACAAGATGGGATAATATATATATATATATATTTATTTATTTACACACACACACACACACCCTGTGTGAGCAAAGTCAGTAAGTCTTGGTCCAATGCAATAACATTAACTACTTTTTTTTTTTTTTAAACTCCCCAAAAATGACTGTAACGCAACATGAGGGTTAAACATCAAACGTTTAGTGGATTGCATGAGTTGACCATCAGATAAATATAACATATAAAGAAAAAATATCCTAATTAGGCGAAACACTAATGCATATACGCATTATGCAATTCATGTTTATTCTTCAGTGCTACATTGTCTCCTCCAAATGGGTTTTAAATGTTAAGCACAATTGTCTTATGAGATGTTTGAGTACATCGACGGCAGCAGCATCATCATGCATTCCTGGGCATGTGCATGTTCTCCCGACAGAGAGAGAGAGCCGAGAACTAGATGCACAGAGAAACATCAGAGAACATCAAATAGACCGTAAGCTGAGAATACATATTAAATATTATCCACCCCCCACACTGAGATTTACTCTATCCCTCTGTTACAGCGCCACCGCGTCAAGAGAGGCACCAAACGTGTCTGAAAACGCATGCGTGTGAATGGTGTTAGTAAAAGTTCAGTTCTATGGATGCACTTTTTCTCCTTTATTTTCAAGGCGAAATCTTTGAAGCTGTCAGTATAAACCCGGCGCTTTTGATCTAGTGCAGTGCGAGCCGTGTCTCTGTAGAGGGCAGGCCACTGAAAGCATTAGTTCAATGTTGCATCACCAGTTAGAGCTGCAGATTATGTCATCAACACACAAACACATACATGCAGAAGAGCAGAACTAGAGCAGAACCAGAGGAGGGTTTGCAATGTACCAGGGTTAGTATAACAACGTGGCCCTCGGCTGTGAATATAAAGGCAAATGGAGTGGAAAGTCTATATAGGTGATCAAATAGGAAAGGGACAGGATCAAATGCTTGTCAAATAGTGTCAGACAGCCTCGTGCTCTATCAGGGATGAAGTTGCTAGATGACGAAAGTGAGAGACAGAGAAAGAGCGGTCCAAAGGAGAGCTTTGAGAGTCTTACTGCTGAATACATCTTGCGCCTCTCAGAAGAAACTCGCTCGATCTCCCTGTGGAGATAAAACACAACGAAAGACAAATACAAGATCAGCAGAGATGAAAACGTGGCATGCAAGTGTTCACAGCCTCGCACACGCTTTCATCTCCTGTATCCTGACGTCAATGATTAATGTTTGATGGAAATCATTTTTTCCGTGTGAAATCTGGGTGCTAATGCGCAGAGTGATGGCTCGATGCCATTTTAAGCTGTACATTATTGCATCTTATATTTCAGGTGGTACATTGCAGAAGGCCTCAAATGAGCTCCCCTCAGGAAAACAAATAATGAAACTTTAGCGTTTGAGTTTGATAAGTGACTCTATTTTGATAGGATGTGTTGATTTTCTTGATTTGGTAAATCTCACGCCTTCGGCATTGAGGGAAATTTGGGATTAAATTTGACGTTTGCTTCATGATCCCTTTGAACAAATCAGATGAATAAAAAAGAAAAATACAGCAGAGGATTTTTTTTTTTAAAGAGTTAGCCCTGATAAATCTTGGATGGGGCTCTAACCTCAACAACCGCAGCAACAGAGTCACCCAGAAGAACATCACCTCTCCTGTTTTCACCTGCTCGAGTCCCGCGGCTGTTTTAGGTTCAGAAATTATTCATGCATTCACAGCCTCGATAACACATCCAGTGCAAACCTGTGTGCCACCATAGTTTCCTGAAAAACACATCTACAGCATTCTGTGGAGCTGGGATGAGAAGATAAGCTAAAGAGCAGAAATAAATATGAATAGCCACACTATTTCCAATTCGGGAAAAAGAAATGGCAAAGAAATGACAATACAAGACCTCGTGCCTATAAGAGGCCTGTATATTTTGCATTATGGTCTATATAACCAAAATGTAATTGCTCTATTTTAAGGCCATGAGATATAAAGGAGTTCTTAATTATGTTATAAATTATGTCTCATGCATGCACTGTAAAAAAAAATTACGGTAAAAAACCGGCAGCTGTCGTTACCGGAATTTTACTGTAAAAAATACAGTAGCACCAAATTAGGTTTTACGGTTTTAACTTAAATTTACAGTTAAATACCGTAATTTCATTAACTGAAATAAGGTTAATATACCAACCTATTTGAAGTACTGAAATCTGTTTTGTAGCTTTGTAATACACTGATAACCACCAAATGCAGGTATTGTTAAGAAAGTCACATGATGAACCAAAGCCACCACAAGCAGCTTTTAGATAATAACATATATAGAAGGTGCACAGTGACATTCACACAAACACTAAACACCATCACGGTAACACGTGAAACTGAAATAATGCTATAAACATTAATTTAACAACATTAGGTGTAACATACAAGAAAAAACAAAGAAGAAACATAGTTGTTTCATCAAAAAATTAAAAATGTAACGCAGGGAATTCTGGGAATGTACATTTACGGTTATTCACTGTATATTATACAGTCTTTTTCACTTCCAAAAACAGTATTCTACTGTAAAATTGCATGTAATGTCCAATAGTTTTTCACCCTATATAGTAGGAGAATTTAGCATTAACCATTTAACAGGTTTTTACTGTAGCATTTTTACAGTCTTTTACCGTTAAATTCACGGTCCTTTTTTACAGTGTGTGTTTACCCTACAATTTTCAAAGAAAAAAAAATAGATACGAGTCAGACAAGTTAGTCTTTTAAAATGCTCATAATCAGATTACTGTTATTTTTATGGCTTACTGTATATGATTACATATTATTCACACAATGTCAGTAAATTTTTTATGATTTATTGATTCACTCCAGTTCTAAATTTTGCTTTCTAAACGAATCTTCCACTTATATAAATGAGACTATACTGTTATATACTATATACTATACTATATACTGTTGATAAATGAGACCCTGCCGATGCATAGCTGAAATACTACATCTTCATCATATCCAGTTTACCTTCACTAATTATTAATATGCAAAGTCTGGACAAAAATATTTCAATCCTGGAACACTTTGGCATTTTCATGTTTATTAATGTTTGTTCATGTAATGTAGGGATTCCCAAAGGTTTTGACATTTTTATGACATTAATTGTTTACATTATTTCATTAATTATTAGCTTTTCATAAACACCCTACAGCTGGTTCATGAACCCCAGTTTGGGAAACCCTGCTTGTTTTTTGTTTCCCCCATCAATATGGTACAAAATAATCCCATTCAAGACTACCTGATAAACAAGTTAGGTCAAAAGTAATCTAAAAGTAATCAGAAAGTAGTCAGACTACATTACGTAATATGTCTACCCAGCACTGTGTAATGTACTGTACTGTATAAAATATACTGTATGTCTTTAGGTTATTTTTACATTAATCTTGTATTAAGACATAAAAAAAGTGATTTATAGGAAATTATATTATTAAACAGAAATATTACAAGGTAACTAGATTTTACTGCCGAATCAGCACCATTTTGAGCGTTTCCGCATGACAGTGATCAGGTGGTACAAGACTATTTTCTCAGAAAAAAAAGAGTTGTAATTTGAGCTCTACTAGGACGTGAGCACACATTTAATCTCATTGCTCTCTGTGGTTCTCCCTCTTTATAACTAGTTACATTCTAATAAAACCGAAAGAAAGAACACAACGTAATAATAAATACTAAAAACTCCCTCCTTGATGTAGAGTAGTAGTTTTTCTGTCTGTCAGCAGTTATCAGACCACAGACCTAGGCTTTTCCAAGGTGTCTTTGCTGAGGTAGATGTACCAGTAGATGAGGTTGAAGATCCCAAAGGCCAGAGGGAAGAGGACGCGGGAGTATTTGTCTATGGTACTGGTGCCTGCCAGCATCATGTTGGGTGGGACAGCCGAGCCCTGAAGGAAGATGGGAATGTGAGTCCTGGGCGCCTCGGACACAGAGTTCGCCCGTCTTCTGAGGCTAAAGCCACTGGTATCAGACTGAGGCTGCGACAAAACAAACAGTGAATGACATGAATCAGTCCCACCTGATATAAGAGAAATGTGACCCTGGACCACAAAACCAGTCATATGGGTCCATTTTTCGAAATTGAGATTTATACGTCATCTGAACGCTGAATAAATAAGCTTTCCATTGATGTATGGTTTGTTAGGATAGGACAATATTTGGCCGAGATACAATTATTTGAAAATCTGGAATCTGAGGGTGCAAAAAAATCTAAATATTGAGAAAATCATCTTTAAAGTTGTCCAAATGAAGTTCTTAGCAATGCATATTACTAATCAAAAATTAAGTTTTGATATATTTACAGTAGGAAATTGACAAAATATATTCATGGAACATGATCTTTACTTAATGTCCTAATGATTTTTGGCATAAAATAAAAATCAATAATTTTGACCCATACAATGTATTGTTGGCTATTGCTACAAATATACCCCAGCGACTTAAGACTGCTTTTGTGCTGCAGGGTCACAAATATAACAGAGACAGAACCTGCATTTACGGTACTGATTAAAACATCCTGAACAGCTATCAACTGTCAAAATAGTAGTCAAGTAGTATGTATTCACATAATATAGTTTAAAGTCATTGTTCACCCAAAATTTACTCACTCTCCTCTTGTTCCAAACCTGTAAGAGTTTTTTCTTCTGCTGAACACAAAATACGATATTTTGAAGAATGCTGGTAGCCAAACAGTTGACGGTAGCCATTGACTTCCATTGTACTTTTTCCATACTATGGAAGTGAATGGCTGCTGTCAATTATTTGGTGACCAACATTCTTCAAAACGTCATCTTTTGTGTTCAAGAGCTGAAAGAAATGTATACAGGTTTGAGAGTGAGTAAATAATGACAGAATTTTCATTTTTGAGTGAACTTTCCCTTTAATGATGCTGATCATGTCAAAAGAGCCCACCAACAAGCTCTGGTCCCTCCTTCAATGTAAGTCTATGGAATTTTTACACAGGCTTTATCATCCACCAGGTGAAAAATTGGCAGTGTGATAGAAAACTAAATTGCACAACTCTCAGGATTCAAGCGCATCATTCAAGTGTATACCGAACAAAGGGTGTGACAAATTACGCCCCTCAAGTACAGTGCTGTGAAAATGTATTTGCCCCCATCCTGATTTCTTCTGTTTTTGTTTCAAACTAAATAATAAACACATACAATTCTATTTATTTATTTATTTTTATTGAAGCAAAAAAAGAGGCTATTCAAAAATTATCATCAATTTGAAACTGATTAGATAACTTTTTGCTACAATAAATAATGTTTATCATTTAAAAACTATTTTGTGTTTACTCAGGTTGCCTTTGTTTTATTTTAGATTTTGTTTTCATTTTTCTCAAAGACTTTAGTATGAGATATACACAAAAACATAAGAAATTATCAAGCGCATCATTCAAGTGTATACCGAACAAAGGGTGTGACAAATTACGCCCCTCAAGTACAGTGCTGTGAAAATGTATTTGCCCCCATCCTGATTTCTTCTGTTTTTGTTTCAAACACATACAATTCTATTTATTTATATTGAAGCAAAAAAGAGGCTATTCAAAAATGATCATCAATTTGAAACTGATTAGATAACTTTTTTGCTACAATAAATAATGTTTATCATTTAAAAACTATTTTGTGTTTACTCAGGTTGCCTTTGTTTTATTTGAGATTTTGTTTCTCAAAGACTTTAGTATGAGATATACACAAAAACATAAGAAATTAGTATGGGGCAAATACTTTTTCACAACACTGTATAACACTTACGGATAGGAAAAAACACACGTCAGCTTTAAATAAAAAAAATAGACAGTTATTGAAGATCATAATGACTCAAAATTTACTCTGACTTAAAGGTGCCGTCACATTTACCATTGTTCGGTGAATGTTCACAGGAGAAATCCAGACATTTCAATTGGAATCCACACAACTGAAAATTCCGTTGCGGCGAAAGATTTCCGCACACATTCCATTTGCAACGGGTTCAAGTTTGTCACACAAATTCAGCATGTTGACCAAAAGAAAGCTGTTTGGTTTGACTTATGAGTGCTTTATACATCTCTACTAGGGATCGACCGATATGTGTTTTTAGGGCCGATGCCGATACCGATTATTAGAGATCAAGTAGACCGATAACCGATATATATGTCTGGTGTAAAAATGAAAATGAATGTCAAAATTAAGAATAACAAGGGCTCTGACAAAAAAAATCTTTAAATGCTTTTAAATTATTTTATCGGCAAATCGGTACATATTACCGATAACCATAAAAATGCTTAATATCGGCGCCGATAATCGGTCTACATGTCATAACGGACAATGGCGTTTTCTGGCCGTTCAAATATTCGCCAAAATTTGGTTCATTCTGCATGTGGAAATCTTTGGCCCTAACAAAATTCTAGATTGCATGGATTCCTATTAAAATGACTGGATTTCACCAGCCGAGCAGTGGTGAAACCAAATCATCTTAAAATAGCCAAATATTTCTAAAACATTTTATTGCACTTTATAAAAATAAGAGGTTAAACTACACCCCTCATGCTGGCACTTAATGTCCCCGTATATTTCCTTTCCATCCAGTCTCTAAGCCAGAGAGAGAACTGGAGCAAGTGGATCCGCAGCACAGGTGAGAGATTATAAGAGTCATGGCTCGCAGTTTTAATACGGGCGGCTATTTTTAAAACACCAACCATGAGCTCCCCGCGTGAGAGCGGTCCCAGGAGACACCACACGTCTGTCGAATTACCATATCCAACTCAGCACAACAGATAAGAACTACAATTCACACGTGGCAGCAAGAGAGCAGGTGAATGACTCCTCACCGAACACCTGAACAATTTGCTTCTGAACACAGCCGTGGACACATTAAAGGTTTAGCCATGTGCTACGATTAGTTACGCGTGCTAAATATGTCTTTAGAGGAATTTAGTCGTCCCTGTGGGAGGTGCATATATGCAGCTGCAGCGACACTCATTTAGCATCACAATAACTGTGACACAGCTCATTGGTTTGTGAAGAGCAGCACTCGTGTTGTGCATATCGTATAACCAGGAGCTCCGTCAGCTGTGCTTTTTGACCGCAGCACGGTGTTAATTGAGCGAGGCTCACAGGAGATAGTTACCGTCTCCGACTCGTCGTCGCTGCCCTGGGCTATGGACTCCAGAACGGAGGCCCTGGAGAGCCGGTGTTTTTCCCTGTTGGCCTCGAGCGTGGCAAAGTAGTTGACCGCGGCAAACTCGACGAGGGCCGAAGCCACGAAGGCAAAGCAGACGGCGATGAACCAGTCCATGGCGGTGGCGTAGGAGACTTTGGGTAGCGAGGAGCGGGCGCTGATGCTCAGAGTGGTCATGGTGAGCACAGTGGTGATTCCTGAAGGTCACAGGAGATTATGTGAACTCGCAAGTACAGATTTACATGGGAAATGATCCCAGAAACACTGAGAACATGAAAAAAAAACCTAAACAGTGAATAGTTAAAGAGATAGTTCACCTAAAAATTTAAATGTTGCTATCAATTACCAGCAACTGTCTGGTTACTAACATTCTTCAAAACATCTTCTTTTGTCTTCAACAGAAAAAGGAACCTCATACAAGTTTGGAACAACTTGAGGGTGAGCAAATCATGACAACATTTTCATTTTTGGGTGTACTGTCCCTTTAAGACCACTAGTATTTTATATTTTTAAATAGCACGTGAAACAATATAAATTATGCTGTTAGCTACATTGTGGTTGTGCTCATCTTGCGTTGTTTAATTCAGCAAATGGTATTCAGTTATCATCTTTGAAATTAAAATGGTTAGTTTGCACTTTTAATATAGTTTTATGTAGAAACTATTGCCAGGTTGATTTAATAATAAAGAAAAAAATAATAATTACAAAGCATACTTTGGTTTGTAAATCACACCATACTCTGCACACTGCACATTTTGGTAAATGTAGCTGGTATGTTATTTGTATACAGAACAAAAAGTATTTCTGTAGAGTATCAGTGTGGTTATTGCTAAGTAAAACTAAAATGCAAAATATTAAAAACTGTGTTAGTTAATTTAAATAAAGCTGAAATAAAATATAAATAGTACATGAAAAAATCGAAAATGCTGCTTTAACTGAAATAACATAATTTGCAGATGAAGTACTACAATTACTAAAAATGAAATATATATATATATAATAGCAAAGTAGAAATATATAT